ACACTGGATCACCGTCACTGTAAACACAGGGACAATGTGTGCAAGCATGTGTGTGTGTGTGTGTCTCCCTGTGTTTGGGTGGAGTGGGCTGAAGACTACCCTTTGGCTAGGTTAAATCCTAATGCCTCTCCTCTTCTGTCCTTGCCTCTCTGGTATCTCGATCTCCAATCTGTGCCCTTCAGCTGCCAAACACACTTTTAATATGGATTTCCTTTCAATACAGATTCCTCAATATCAATATCCTCTGATATGGCATCTTTACAGAAGTCTTCCTTTACATATTGAGAGAAAGCAGTACAACAATATTATAATATTGTCTGTCACTGGGTTACATGTCATGCAACCCCCTTATAGCCTAGGGGTCAAGAATCTGACAATGAACCACTCGGTCCCCACTCTGAGTCAGACCAGGGATCTCTCCCACATTTTAAATTAAATAAATATCACCTGTGTGTCTGTATTTAAAAAACAAACTGTACTTTTGATACCTTATTCTGAGGACTTTAAAAAGACGTTTCCTTTAATTTGCAGTCTAATGTGATAGACATCTAATTAAAATAAAACTTTTAAACGACTTTCACACTGAATTTTCCTAAATAGATCACAAGTTGTAATACTAAAGAAATGTCTTCATAGTAGAAGTTAGAACTGTTGATGAATAATGTACATTTAATAAGCATTTAGATGTTCATCATATGGTGTTATAAACTACTATATGTTTAGTGCCTATAAATGCTAAGTAGGGGACTAAAGTAAAGATTTACACTCACAAGATGAGAAAAGCGGGTGCCTGTGGTGGCTACCTCCAATACTGCTGCCTGACATCATGACAACAGGAGCTTGACCAACGTGTCACCGTGTGAGCTGTCAGCTGTCTGAAACGTGCTGTTAGGTATTTTTAGTCAGATAAGATATTGGTCAGATACTTGTTGTATTAGAAATGTTTAGAGTAGACAGGATGTCTAGTCATTCTCATGAATGCTGCAGGAGGCTTATGGTCAAGGATAACTAGAAAGAAAAGTTGATGACTGTCAGCAGACAGGGTGTTTAATATTATGATTATGACGTGTATAACTGTAGTCTTAGCCATAATATGTTCTTATGTTTAATGTCATGACATGTTTCTAGACGTCTGTGAGAATGTTTTTAGCTACACACCACTTAATCAACAGACACACACACACACATTGATTTTCTTCATGTTTTGACTACTGCTATGGCCAGCTGCAAAGCTGGCACCGGGACACGTCACGGTTTGGCGTTCCTGTTAGTATGGGGTTAGCCCAATCTAAGTGATAAATGTATAGGCCTGTTGGGTTCAGGGGTCTTTCATCTTTCAGCTGCCTGCGTGCATGTTGGAGGTGCAAGATACCTGAGCGTGTAATGTTAATTTTTACCTGTGTTCATTGAATAAATCAGCACTGTTTTGAAGTTACTTGGACTGTCTCGTCTCTCAGAGTTAGCATGGTTAAAAGAATCGAAATGCTACAATGCAGAGAGCACGCCGAGGCTAAACATAAAGGTCTGCACCAGAATATTTCCTGAGTGTTTCTTATTTACACTGATCTAAGCTGCGAAGCCAGATATGAGAGCCAGCTGCAAAACAGTGCTTCAATCAGAAGCTACGTTCTGACTTGTTAAACCACTGTATTGTTTTCACACATTAGTTCATAATTTTAAGAGAGATTTCTCAGTTATTTCAAACTTTAAACTGCATTTTTACAAAGACGGAAAAGAAAGAAAATGAATGCAAAAAACCTTCTGGATAAATGTGATTTGACAACTATGACAGTGGGTTTCACTGCTTTCTTGTCCTTTAGGGTTATTTGCTCTTTTTCACAGAAAACTAATTGAATGGTAACAAGATGAACAGTGTGTTTGCAGGTTTGGGCCATGTCAACAAAGCCTCCAAAACCCTGGAAACGATGACGTTAATAACGAATCTGTTCTCTAGCTCTGAGGCAGAAGACAAAAGACATAGATACCAAAAAAACTTTACATAGTGTATGTATAAGTATTGTGATGCGAATGTGCTAAGATTGAGAGTGGGGGTAGTGTATGTGTTTGTGTGTAATGTAATCTGCAGGGTGTGTCTCTGTATACTACTACTGACACTACCATCAAACTCAGGAACACTGATGGAACACATGAACACAAAAGCTGTGAACAACATCCATCCCAGTTTCCCAAAGCCCAAGACGACATCTTCAAACACCTTGTTTTGTCCAAAGAAACCAGAAAATATTCACATTTGAGAAACTGAAATCAAAGAATTGCTGCATATTTTCTGAAAAGATTATTCAAATCAATCAATCGTCTAATTGCTAAATATGTTTCTGCCAATCAATTTAATTAATAAACTAACTACTGCCGCTCTAGACACTGATTCAGAATGTAGCCGGACTGGTTTGAGTTGTTCTTACTATGAAAAGTTTTAAATGTGTCTTTTCCCTTAAGCATGGCTTTCAGAGTATTCTGACTTGTCTTTGTTGAGGAATGTATATTTTTTAATTCCCATTTCAGTGAGTACCTTTTTAGTGGGTCTCTTGATGCAACGGGAGGTAGGGTGGAACTGGGAACACTGGTGTATGAATGCATGTATATATAGTTTTGTGCCTTGATGATATGGGAACAAACTGTTTAAGGCCAGCTGAACACTGTTTTTCCCCTTTTGGAGAGGGCAGGATGTATGTGTACACAGAGTCCATTAATAAAAAAAACTAACATACATATAATGCAATAAAAGTTCACAACTATATAAAGGTCTGCAGAAAAAAATCTGTTTAAATGAGATCACTTTACCTGTGTAATAGAGCACACATGGCACTGCCACCAAGAGCTCCAGCGCCAGGATGCTGAGCAGCAGGTAGGTACGAACAGGTGGCACTAACTCAGCAACCATAACAACCAACACCGCAACATTCCCTGTCAATAAACACACATTTTCCCTTTAGCATTACTGCCACCTTGTGGAGAAAACAAACATCTACATGATATAATTAAAAGGTTTTAACTTGTTTTATAGAAATGATTTACATGCCAGGCAAATGTAAATTATGTAAATAAATAACATCAAACTATTTTCTAGTGGATGCACAAGGATTTTGTGACTGAAGGGAAAAGACAGAAAATAATGTTTATTGTTGAATGACAGACTCTGCTTCTCTCCCTGAAATCCACTGCTTGTCAGCGTGGTGTAATATCATATCAGCCCAATCAGTTACAGCATCCAATCCAACCCCCTGTTGGACTGGACTGGGCCTTCAAGATGAAGGAACGAAGCGACATCTGGGCTGAGCAAGGACTGGGGAACAATCACATAAGGGAACTGAAATGTTCTAAAAACGTGTGCAGTCATACCTATGGAGTGTATGGTGAGCGGCAGGTGCTTCAGCCCCTGCACCTCTCTGTAGAATTGCAGGTATCCTCTCCTTCTGGCCTGGTTGTGATGGTGTTGCACATACCAAGTGAACAGCAGCACCAGCACCCATAAACACGCTTTTCCAAGCACAACGACACTATCACCTGGCAAGTTACCCAAAACACTCGCACACACCTCCTTCTGGCCAAAATTCAACACACACAGCACTGCCACACACACTGACAACACCATGAACAGAACCTGAAACAAAGACGAGAGTGTTAGAAGAGAAAGAGGTGTCAGCAGTGGGGCATTTGGCAAAGACCAGTACATACTGTAACTATTATGACACAGAAAATAAAAAGTTACTGTGGATAACCTGGAAAAGTGGTTAGACTGGTTAAATACATTTACATGTGCCGAACTAATGAAGACATAACATGAAGTTTTAACAACTGTTGTATGGCTGAAACTAACAATCATTTTCATTACAATTCATCTGCCAGTTATATTCTCGATTAATCAATTGTTTTGTCTAAAATTTAAAAAAAGTCAATTACAGTTTCCCAGAGCACAATTACAATTTCAAATTCATTTTTCCAACAATCCAAAAGATATTCAGGTTACTTACTTACTACCAGTCAAAAGCTGGAATGAGCAAATCCCTGACATTTTTGCTCGAAAAATTACTCAGATGATTAAATTATCACAACAGCTGGCAATTAATTTTCTGTAAATGGCCTAAAAGATTTTGTTAAAACATTTAGAAAATCAGGTTAGTGCAGTGTGTATATGCAGATATCATACATGCAGCAGAGTCAACAGGCCGGCAAGCCAGTGTGTTGTTACAGTCTTAAACTCTCTCCTGATGGCAGAGTGGAGGGCGTCAACAGAGATCAGAGGTTCATCCCCCACAGAGTCGTCCTCTATACTCTGTGTCAAATCTACAGAGGGGTCTGCATTCTGCAACAAACACCATATTAGCAAACTATAAGTTTAACAAGCAAGGTGTCTTCAAATACACACGTCTCATGGTTATTGCTCTTCTACCACTAAATGCAACATATACACACACATATATATATATATATCTTGCAGATACAAAATACACCCTGTATAATTCTATGTAAACGCACATAACATTGTGTTTTAGCCTTGATGGTATAGTATATTCGTAATATAGTCTGTGTCCCTCATGTAGATAAACTGGAAGAACATAAAAATTATACTTCTCAGTAAAATCTAGTTCAACAGCACCTTTAACTATGACCTCACTAATTAACATATAATTGAATTGACACGTTTCAGACAAGGTCACAAAAACTGAATATTACGGGCTTCATAAACACATACAGTATGTTATGGCGGCGGGACTGTTGTACTGGCCCGCATTAGACTTAGAAGGTGCTGCGCTAACGTTACCTAATAAAGTGGCAACTGTGTGTGAAAGCGAAAGTTTGCCACGAACTGACCACAAGTGTAGGTTTTAGTCGGTTTAAGTAGGTGTTACAGCAGTTCAGTGCTAATACTAGTAATCTGTTTATTTCAAAAAGATAACATTTGCTACAAGGCAGAAATATATTCGTAATTAAGTGTTAGCGTTGTATCTTCCTGGAGTATTTTAGCTGATAGATCTAATTAGTTAGCTACCAGGCTAACTGCAAGAGTGTTTTAACTTCTATTTACTGAACAAGCTAACCGTTGACATAGCAAACAGTTAGCGCAAATGACATGCAGCTAGCTACATACTGCATAAAGCGATGGTCCCCCCGAGTCCATTTTGTTGTTATATGTCGACGTTTTTGAGGAACAAACGATAAAACAACAAACATTAGCTTACATGTGATCTTTGAAAAGGGGCGGGCGGGCAGGCAAATATTAGTAAACTTCCGGTCCCGATATTTTCTGGTTCCTAGCACAATAGTTCCGATAGAGCAGTTTGGACGGTTTTAGTGACCGGAATCTCTGCCTAATTTCCATCAATCTAATTGTGATATTAATTCGTAATACTATTCGTATTAGCTATATTCCAAAGACTTCAAATTGTATGGGCGGGGTAGAAGGGATAAATGTGAGGCAAAGACACTGTGAAGTGAAAGGACAAGTACATGAAAGTGTATTTTAGAAACACAGAAGCTCCTCAGAATCGTCAGGTTTTTACGTTTTCTTCTAGATCAATGTAATTCAGTCATAATTAATCCGGCGAATTTAGTTTTACAAGTTGTAAACAAGTATAGGTTGAAAACATTGTACCCCAAAGCGACTTATTAAATCCGTGTTTCTTCTAAAAGATTTTGAAGACTTTTAACAGATAGCAGAAAAATATAGTTCACATTATCAGGGAGCCCTGTGCATCAGCCTCGCAATAAATACATTTTGTAAAATCCAAGATTCTGCCACAGCTGTTTTTGTAAATGTAAATGTTTGGTAATTTCGGGAGGTGTTTTCCAAGGCCTGGGAATGGATTACCAATGAGCAAAGCAGACAAATCCTGTGTAAAATCTTAAGAAAAAAGAAAAATATCCACTGTTACTCCCTGAAGTCCAAATGAACATATCAAGATCATATTATTTATTTTTTTTTACTAACAGTCAGAAAACCCCAAAATGTTGGGTTTACTATGATAGAAAACATAATTGAATCCAGCAAATATTTGTGTACCAGAGTCCAATGGCTAAGTTGACAAAATGTTTTCCATTAAATTTCCGTTAAACAACTAATTGATTAATCAGATTGCTGCATTGTATAGCAGAGGTCAGTGGAGGCTCAGCAACAAATATTTGCCCTTGGGCTCCGTGGAGGCTAATTTGGCCATGCCCAGGCTGCATTTAAGGGGCAAAGGTGTTGACTGCCCCAAGGCTCTAAAACTCCAAGGACCCTCAAAAGCTCCAGGCTTGCTGTGTGTCACCTTGTTTGTGCTCATTTCATTAAAAATTTGCCTAAGAATACACATGACCAAAGCACAATATCAACATCAACTGACATGATAAGAGCAAAATACCAAGCTACCTGAGCTCTTCAAAAATCTGTCAAAATGGACTTATAATAGCTTCATTATTTCAGTGCTGTGCTTCTGAAATGAATGTTCTTAAACACATTTCATCACACACATTAAAATGGGGGTCATGTAGCACAGAAACTTTGTTTTTGAAGATTCATTTCTGTCTCAGGTTAGCTCCAGCAGGTTGATCCAGGTTTTGGACTTCTTTTTCTAATATTTTGTTTTTATATTTATGAAGTATGCATTTAAAATGTCTGCTTGTATTGTGACACACACAATCACACAGATGCAAATATCAGATTTCTGTTCAAATATTTTTAAAAGAGTTTTTAAAAGCTAATGTTTGTGATGAAACAGGACAGCACTACATTATGTCTGCTCTGCGGTGAAGAAAGATGCTGAAGTATGTTTACTTCACTGCATTTTGTCAGATAATATTGTACTTTAGATTCTACAACATCTATATCATAGCTACATTTACTAGTTTGAATGCAGGACCTTCACTTGTAATTGAGTAATTTATGGTATTCATACTTCTATCTGAGTATCTGAATACTTCTACCTCCATTATTTATAGCTTGATCTACTTTTGTCTTTAAAGTCATAATGCATTTATCCCTTGAAATGCAGATTCTGGCTCTAGCTTAATAAAAGAAGGCTCAAAAACACATAACATCCCATTTAAAATATTTAATTGATAAACATACACTTGCCATAAAAGACAATGAACTGAATGCTGTCAGGTGTGCAGATAGAGGCAGTGAGACAGAGAGCAGAGTTCAGCTGACTCTGAGGAGGCAACACTTGCAACAGAGGCAGACAAGGAGATTTTAGGACATTGTGAACTGATATAATATGGGAGATATTTAACGGTGAAGCAGCAAATAGGTTTGTGTCATTGGTTTAGCTCATGGAAAGGGGAAAGGGGTAGGAGAAAACAGCAGGTGACTAGAGGAGGTTGATGCATTTAACATTTTTTGCTGGTATGGAACTGTGCTTCAAGTCAAGTCACACACTGCATACAGACCTATACATGCATGATTTCATACACACATGCCCACACTCACCACACACAATGTGCCAAGACCCAGAGGTCTGTGTGACCCTGAAATACTCCTGCACATACACTAACCCTCACATTCATTATATAAGGCACTGATTCAGATGCAGTCTATAAGAATACACAGAGGTTAAACCATCTTAACAAGAAAATATTTAAAATTCAAAGAACAAATAATATTACTTAATAGCATGCATCTTCATTCTCGTAAAATGAATTATAAAGAAAAAAAAGCTTGTGTAAATAAGCCAACTTTCCCAAAATTCAAAAATATCACGATGTACAAAATACAAGAGGAAAGTTATGTTTAATTATTTAGATGATAAGAGCCTATGTCGAGCTCACATGAACCATCTGAGTAATGTTCACAACAACTTTTATGTGTTTTTCTTTCATGCAAAACTGTAAACACAAAACACAAAATGAATGATAAGGTATGATGAGTAAGGCATTAAAATGGTCGAGCTACTTCAGGCTATCCAACCCAAACCAGTTTTCGACGCACTTAGAGAGTGGGATCACACGATCGGTGCAAAAGCAGGGGTTCGTGAGTCAATTTTAAAATTGAAGTATTGGAGACACTGACATTTAGCTTGTAGTGTAACATGTTCAGCTTGTGTCAGAACATATTCTTACTTTAGTGTCATGATTGTGCAAAGATTTCTTGACATCCATGCTACACATATTAAAAAGAAGTGTATACGTGTGTATAGTTAAGAAGCACATACACTACAGTATGTACATGTGATGCTGTGCCATTTAGTCCACATGTCAGTCCAGTTTTGCTCCCAGAAACATCTATAAAGCTGCATTTTAGGAAAAAAGTGATGATTCCGAAGCATTGAAGAGATGACTGTTGGTTAGAATGCGACTCAAGGTTCTAGTACTGTCCTCCATGCAATCACTGGCTGCCACGATGATGATGCAGCTCTAGTTCAAGTGCAGGTCATCATAGCGTGGTGGGCTGACCTCTACCTGCATACAAACACATGACAGTATGTTAAAGTCTCTTTTTAAAACTTACTGAGCCTATGTGTTTCTGCAGCATGTAGCTGTGACTACATAGATGTAAAAACGCTGTAGTTAGCGCTGTGAGTCCTCTTCACATTACATCCTCACTCAACTAATTCTTACTTCCACTGTCTATGTGTACTGTTGAATTGTGTCATTTTTATTAATTCCTATGAAAGATGGACCGATGTGTGTTCAGAAAAGAGATCAGAAGAGTGTGAACCAAAATCAGGATCCTCAATCATGGTTGGTACAGTTTTTAATGATGCTAATAAATATGTGAAACTGCATTCCATGTTTGAATTTATAAAAACTAAATTAAAAAAGTAGTTACCTGTGTCTACTTGTAAACATTTTTTGGACCATTTATATTGACATTTATGCATAAAAAGCTTCTACTATATAGTATAATTTTCCCTCACTATCACAAATTGTTAGATAAATCTTGATTGCCCCACCTCCCTGTTTTGTAAGTGTCACGCTCCTGCCCCTCTTGCTTCCTGTCAGGCTTTTATTTTCTCATCACTTCCTGTTTTGTTTCACCTCACTTTTGGCCCTTTTATTTAATCATCATTAGTTCACCTGCTCCTTATTGTTTGCACCTGTTTTTCCCTTCTATTTAGGCAGCGTCCTCCCACCAGGACGCTGCCAGATTGTTCTAGACCCCAGCTCTGACTCTCCAGCATTTATCCCTTGCCTGACTCTCTGTGTTTGACCTAGGATTACCGTTTCTTGACCACCGTGTTTTGTCTATGCCCTCTCAGATTCTGATCGCCTGCTGTGTACCGACCTTCTGCTTTTGTTCCCCTTGACCTCGAGTTTGGATCCCCTGGATATACCTGTTAACCGGCGCCGACCCTGGACTGTCTTATCGACCTAAGTGATATCCTGGACTTTTGTTAGTTTTGTTTACTAGTAAAGAACTTTTCGTTACCTCAGTTCGTCTGGTCATTTAATTGAGTTCACCACATCCTCTGTTTGTCATCTGTACACACCAAACGTGACAGTACAATCTGGCCAGTATGAACTCAGCCAGCGAACATGACCAGGACTGGCGGGCTCGCAAGGAGCAAGCCCTGGGCCATC